TGTCAAGGGGAACCTTTACCTTTACCTAATGTTTAGATTATTATACTAGAGAAGGCTCAGTAGTCAGCCCCATGAAGCTTTTCCAAATGTGGGATATCATCATCTTTGTTGCTTTGGAACTCCCTCCCACTGGAGGCCAAGCTTGCCCCATCTTTGCTGTCCTTCCACAAGCAGGCAAAGACCTTTCTCTTCAGGCAAGTGATGACTGGCTGCCTGAATGAGTTTCTTAAGTGGATGGTTGTGCCTTACTGCTTTGGAGGTGTTTTTGGAGTGGCTTTTATTTCCTGTCTCTTAGTCTGGTATCGGATTTAGAGACGGGGACAAACTCTGAACCACCATGAACCCCTGGAAAAACAAACTGGTTCTCAGTTCATTTTTCTGGTTCATGCTGGGGTGTGTGTGTGGACCCTACCTGCTCTTGCCACCTCCACCTCCTCCACCGCTGCTGCTGCCACTGCGGCCACGGGACACATGCTCAGAGGGAAAATGGAATCCAAAACCGGATCATGAAAAAAAGAAGAAAGAAACAGCCCAGTTCATCACTTTTTTGTTTGTTTTTGGTTCACAGTTCATTTCTTGCTCTTCTCTAGTTTAATTCTTTTTGGTATTCATATACTTACTGTTTTTAGCTTTCAGTGTTGCCTTTTAACGATGAAAGCAGCTTCAGGTCTTTTTTCAGGTGAAAGACGAGGTAAAATATTCTAAATAAATAAACAAATACATCACTATAAAGGCTTTGGAAAATCGCACCCATGATTCCTTCTACTGGAAGTGAAGAACAATTTCCTGATACGGACTAAACGTTTGTCCCAGTACAGCTGATGCATTCATCATGGATGCTGGGGGCTTCATGACAGAGTGCTAGTGAAGATACTTCATGTTTTAGTCTGCTCTTTAAAGGTGGTGGTGGTGGTGGGAGATATTCAAGGTGCTGTCTTATTTTGGAAGGGTGGATTCAGCACTTTGGACACTCACCCCCACAGCCTACCCCTACCCCTTTCTCTCCCTACCTTAGCTCCTGCACACCCACCCCTGCTGACACCCCCTTACCGTAATCATTGCCACAGCTGCCAAGATCTCCATCAGGCCTCCACAGCTGTAGAAAGGGAAACTGGCTGCCATTTGCAAAGATGGCAGCTGTGGCTTCATTTAGGGTAGTGAAGCTGCAGCCACCATCTTTACAAATGGCAGCCTGGATTCCTTTAAGGTGGTGGAGGGTGGGGTGGGGCAGAGGGGGGCGGCGGCATGGTGGTGGAGGGTGGCAGCGGGGCTGGTGATGACGGTGCCAGCAGGGGGCAGGGGCAGGGTGTGTGAGAGTTATTCCTTGGTTCATGGGGGCAACTTCGTGCTTTGTGAGTCACCATCTTTTGATGACTCACGAAGCAGGATGACTCGCCAAAATGATGAGTCATCCCCATCTCTACTTTATTCCTCAGCTGTGTTCTGGTAGGAGTCAGCAATCCAAAGGCCCTCCCAGAACTCATAGCAGTAATCAGGACACACCTCTTCCTATTACGCTGAGCACATGGCCCTTCCTGTTAAGGACACACCCTTTTCTGTTAAACTGAGCACACGGTGCTTCTGAATGGGGAATTCCTAGGGATTCCTTCCTGTTATTAATCTAAAAAGACTCATATCTCTGCCTTTGTCTCCTTGGTCTCCCACTTTCTTTTATTCTTTCCTCCTACCTTCCCTTCCTATCTCTCCCCCATGAAACTCCTTGGGTCATTCTCAACTTTATTCCTGTGCTCACTTAGGAGTCAGCAACCAAAAGGCTCTCCCAGAACTAACAGCTGTTATTTATCCAGATGTTTTAGACAAAAATTCTCACGGTCCCATTGCCCATGCTAGCTGGCATTGAAAAATCTCTAGTGACCACTAGATTGGGGAAGGCTAGTGTACGCTTACTGCTAGAAGTTTTTGAGTGTTGTGTATATTATCTTAATTATTTCAATATATGGTAGATCGGCCCTGATGTGTTTAAGGAACTTCTTGGAGCTGCTGTTGAATGGAGCTTTAAAAGTCTGGTCCAAAGGCTTGTCATGAAGGTGTCTACGTTCAATTTTCCACTTAGAGACTATAAAGCCCAATAGAAGGGCTGGAGTCCAGTGGCATAACATGTATTTTGCCATAAAATACTGTTGCTGATCAGTACCCATGGTTTCACTTATCTACTGCCTGAAAATACTTAATTAAAAAAAAACATGTTTCCAAGATGTATTACTAGAACTGGCCACTAGAGGAAACCTGAGATTATGCTAAATATAGGGTTTGTTTATCTACAGTTTCACAAGGATGGGCTTGAAACTGATCCCCTGTGGATATCGTGGTCCTATTGCACTGGAAATATAATATTTTAGGGAACAATAAATGGCTGAAGAATTCTGGGAGCTTAAGTCTAGGAAAGGAATATTTCTGGTATTTGTAGGCAGAAGGTCCTTGGTACTTCAGTCCCCAGCATCTGAAGACAGGGCTGGGAAAGGCCTTGTCAGAACCCTTAGAGACTTGACATCACTGAGGAAAATGGAGTATATCCATAGTAGATTAGTTACCCTTCTATATCCCTCACTGTATGAACTTGGGCCATTCACACAGTCTCCGGATTCAGATTACCACATACAGTAAGTTTCTTGTGAAGACTAAATGGATGTTCCTTATGTTGAGAGCTTCTCAGACTGAAACTGGAAATAAAAAACAACGGATGTGCTGAGTACAATTCTAGGTGAGGAGAGCTTCATCCGTTTTATCCTGCCCTCAGCTTTGTGTCCCTCACAGGCAGAAGCTTGGCACATGAAGTCGTCTTCATTGATGCATCACCAAAAGCTACACCTATTGAACTCTTATCTAAAATATAAGTGTGTGTGTGGAGCTATACAGGGGAAATAAAGACATTTCTTGACTAAGAGTATCATGGTAAATGGCTTTGTAAGATTATTTGCATGGCTTTTCTGACTGTGTAGAGATGTCCCAAAGTATTTGCTTCTGGAGCCATAGGACAACATGGCACCTCCTCCTTCTGATATATGGAAGCTGACTGGCAGCCGAACCCTACAATTCTAGCAATGGGGTAGGGTCTTTCTTAACACCCAAAGGAAGCAGACCAATTTAGGTGACGACTGGCTGGACAGCTTTGCCCTCCATGAGAATGTCCTGGCCAGAAAGATCTGGTGACCAGACATTTTATGCCCATGATGTCTACCATCTCAGGCTGTTGCCTCAGTGTCTTATGCTAAATATACTCCTAAAAAGGGAGAGTACTCTGTGCTTCTGTGTGAACAGGTTGTGTCTTATCTTCAAAGGCTGGGAGGCACTTATGAGTTACTTATTGCTTCAGGAACAAAAGCGCTGGCTGAGATCTGAATTGAGGTACCTTGAAGGTATAATTATTGTGATCAAAGGAGCACAAGGACCTCAGCTGAGGCCAGAAGACTAGAGCATTCTAGAAGGGTACCAGAGAATAATGGAAGCCCCAGCTAATTACAGCCTGTAGGGCCAGACTGACTGCACCAGTAGCAATGCACCTTCAGACAATGTCAGCAAAGTGGGAGTATAAAACAATAGTGATTTTTGACCCTCTTCTTATTGGGACATCTGTCTTCAAAGGAGAGGTGGAATCTCTACAGATTATTGCAATTTAGCTCCTGGATATGCCTGTAATCAGATTATGTCGCCTTCAGAGTATATTTTATTACAGTGGTAACTTGCTAGATGACGACCTCGCAAAACGACGAATCCGCATGACAACAAGGTTTTGTGATCACTATAGCACCACTGTATTATGAGAAAGCAAGTAAGAACATTTAGAAGCAATGGAGACTTGTCATCTATGGCCATTCGCCTGCTCTCTTCCCTAACCACATAATTTTGTGAAGCTTCAGAAATATGACATAGACACCAGCAGCTCCTCCTCTAATTTTTCCAGTCCACTTTTGCTCTGCTGTATCTTTCTCTTAGGATGGCCAGCAGGGCTGAATCATTTTAGCAACTATGGAGAGTAACTCCTCCATGGACAGAGTATTCCGTTCCAGTGATGTCTGGAGTATTCTAAAGATTACCCCATGGAAAACAACTGAGCTTAATGCATGCAAAAAAGGGCTCATAAATATTATTTTGCACAAGTGAGGGAAAAGAACTACCATGCACGCAACAGCCTGTTGGACTCCTAGGAAAATGGGCAGGACTTCTAAGTCGGTTCTTGCATTATTAGCAGCAGCTTCATCTGCTGATCTTGGTGGCCAGATGGCATTCTTCCCCATTTGGTGGAGACAAATACAGGCTGACTGAATGAAGTCCAAATAGTTTTGGACCAATCTGGCATTCTCAACAGTAAATGAACACTAGGCAACATGTCTCCAGAATAATGCAAATGTAATGGGATAAAAGCAAACTGCTAAAGTGGGACTAGGAGGGGAGCTGAATTTTGCTCTTTGACAGTTCTAGCATCCAGTGCAGGCTTCAATTCAATGAAGTAGGGCTTTCCAATCACAGTATTTGGGCAGGAAGTACAGTACATGTTATTTTGCTTCCCTCCACCCCTGCTGCTCTTTAGCTGGAGGAAAGTATTCAGAAGAGATGTGTTGGAGTTGGGTGTCAATTTTGGTTTTAACTGTAATTTCTTTTCCTCCTACTTACATTTT